TAACACATTTAAACATTATATTCTTCCTTAAGAGAAGGTTCTGATTTTCTCAATTAAGTTTTATTGAACTGTTCATATTTCTTGATATATTATGAATTGATAAAAATAGGTGGCAATGCAGTACTGTGTTGTCCCGGTGCAGGGAAACTAGGCCTGCAGTCCAAGCTAACCCTTGACTCAATCAGACGCATTGTGTCCCGTGAACCAGGCTTGAATTACACGCGATCCCCAGAACCAAAGAATACTATCTAGTATACTTAAAATTAAGATGCAGTATTTGAACCAATATAAATAAACATTTATTGGGGACAAGCAACAAGCATGTAAATGAGAATCGCTAGTGATAATCCTTAACGCCCTCCTTGTATCTCTAAGAGATAGGAAACTCGTGTGATAAGGGAGGTGCTGTGTGCTTAGAATCGGAGACGTATTTCTTACGGCGATAAGCATCAATCTCCAATGTCAGAGTATTGATACCAAACGAACTTACAGATTTGTACATTTAGACAGCAAGCTCTGCACTGTAGTTGTTTCAAAATTCGGAAACTCCCCTTGAATATCCACGGAAAGATGCTTTAGCGTTCTGTGGTAGCTGGCAACACGATGAAGTAAGCTGGTCAACTGCGAACAATTGATTAAAATGTTTTATTTTTTAAAAAGTCTTTTTTTTTTTTTTAAAGCAAATGATGTGGATAAATATAGGCGATATACATATATGCGCACCTATTTCAAATTGTGTGTGTGTGGGGGGGGGACGCACAAATATGATATTTATTTTAATTTATTTACTAGAAAAAATCGGCAACTCCAATGTATAAAAGAAAGCCTATAAAGAAAGTCCGTCCGCTTTTAGATAATGCATCTTTAGTCTGGTAACCATTTACCAAGAAGAGCATCGACAGGTTGAGGTGGTCCATCGACGGGCAGGATGCTTTGTCATGAACCGCTACAGGAACACCTCAAGTGTTGGCAGCATGCTGGAAACACTAGGCTGGTCAGCATTGGAGGAACGACGAAGATTTTCCAGGCTCGCCATGATGTACAAAATAAATAATGGACTGGTCCCCTGTTCCAGTATTAAACAGAAACTCGTCGCTCTCTATCATAGACAGTGACGAGGCCATAACAGGCAGTTTTGGCTCATACCAGCGTGAAGGCAGGATAGGAACTGCTCATTCCTGCCAAAGACAATCAGGGACTGGTACAAGCTTTCAAAACGAACAGTTGCGGCGACAAGACTTGACACATTTGCGTATGTGGTATCAAGCCTTCCAACCCCCAGTTCATGATTCGCTCACAAACTAGCACTTGCAACCTGTGAAATGTCCTCATCAACACCAGGCACAGAAACATTGCAAATTCCCTCTACATGCATAGGAGCCAAAAGGATCAATAAATTGATCGTGGGCCCTTAATATACAGAAGAGGAAGAAGAATTTAATGCCTGACAGTCTAAAAACTCCGTTTAAAGTTTTTAATGATTCCAGGTACCGATCAATTTTTAAAGATAAAACTGTAATAAATAATCACATCTCAGAGTTATTATAGTAGTTCTTTTTTTCCAAATGTGATATTCAATTAAACATTATTTAATTTTATTCACAAATTGAATGGACGATATACTAATGTACCAAAAATTGATAACATGTTGTTTCATACGAAAACAACTTGGCACAAAGTGTGCTATACTTGTCATGATTTATTTAAATACTTTAAATAGTTACTTCTACTCATGTCTATTTCTGTATATGAATGTGATTAAAAAAATAATTATTTGCGACATGCTCCTAATTAAAAGCAGCATAACATTTCAGATTTTTAATTCTGGAAAGCTCGTGATAATTTCAAATTCCTAAGAGTGAACTGAAAAATGTACAGTCTCGGACTGATGAGTTTTAAAACAATTGGTCATTGTCATAACCAAATTATTTTTTTTTAAAACGTGAATATCATCTGAAGTTAGATTATCATGTGAAGTGGGATATTAACCCATGTCAATCCTGATAAAAATTTATATCATATCTTAAAAAAATGTCAGGTGCAATAGTTTAGCTTAAAGTTACACCGCCATGGTTAATTCCATATCTTATGTAATGAAAATATAAACGTGATCATTGTATTATTTTTTTGAAAAAAAATTCTTGAAATTTTTTAAAATAAGTTATGTGCCTGACCAAATTACAGACTAACTTTTGTTTTTAATAGTTGTGTTGTTTGTTTCTGCTTTGCTTATAAAAAAAAAACTAACTGTTATACCCCGCTTTGATAAGTATTATACCAATTCAAGATTAAAATCACCGCCTTGTCTTTAAGGCGATATAAATTTGTTACTGTAGCTAGGCCCCACCATAATCCTTAAATGAAATATTCAAGTTAACAAAAAAACAAGCATTTAAAGCGTTGAAGCTGATAAACTGCAATATTTATCTCTTATAGAAAAAAAGGGGGGGGCGGGAATTTAACATTCAAAAGTTACATTATTAAATTCCTCATTATACTGCACAGGTATCCTTTAAGATTATTAATATTGGAGCCCCCACTTCAAAATAATGTGACACCGCATAATCCAAAGTTATCTTGATCAATTTTTTTCCCTTTAACGGCTTAGACAAGCGTCAAAGAATTTAATGGAAATTAAAACTAAAAAAAAATAATATTTTCCATTGTTCCCGCCAGCGAACAACATAAACTGAAACTTTTACTTGTTAACAAATTAATGACAAAAGACAAACAAACAAACACAAAAAAAGTCAATCAAATACTTTCTCCTACCTCAGATTCTGTTGTATCCCCTCCGTATGTGGTCAAACATAAATAGAACAGGGGCATCGCCGGTGATAATATATCAAGCTTTAGCTTTTAGTCTTTGAAATGAACGATCCTCAGCTCGACCATCAGGTTGGGGTGGGTGCTGACCAAAGATTCCCACGCCTTGCAGCTTAATATGTGAGCTGATTGAGTCGATGGTATAACACGACCGTGTTAGTAATGTGTACATTGAACAAATACGCACTTGATTGATTCGTGCACGTTAAAGTTGAAACATTTCGTTACAATTAGCTAATTTACATCAAAACGGTACTAAAAAGACATAATATGACGTAAATCTATGAAGACACAATGGGAACTTTTTTAACGTCTTGTTGATGAAAGAAATTATTCTTGTAAAAATTGCATCTAGAAGGTATCCATTTGCCTGGAAAAAATCTGACACTGGATGAAAAGAAAGACTCCATCCTCGGTGCATGTCACACTAATATTATGACACAGTATACTAGTAGTGACTTGTCAGAAAATTTATCAAATTAAAACACTTTCAATCACAGCTCTCTTTTACACTCATAGGTTTAAAAATGTTTTATTAAAAAAGGACAATTAAAATATAAGTAATCAACAAACAAACATACTGCTTTGCCCATATTCTTCAGCAGAAAGACTGATGATTGAAAGGTTCGGACATCCCGTGACCCAGGTTTCGGCTAATTCTTCAGACATTACATCGTAATCCACCTGAATACGAGTGAGGCCTGTGAATTTCTGAAAATGTGATGCTATTAATTAAAAGACACTGATACGTTTACAAGTGAGAGACCCAGCAAGTTAACACTGTTAAGTTTAGTTTTAAGTAAACTGGAAGTTTACACTTACATGCTTACAATTAAGCACACCTGGAATTAAACACTTATAAGTTTAAGAGAACCTGGAAGATATCACAGTTACGATTAAATTTAAGAGAACCTGAAAGTTAACACTTTGACGTCTACAATTGAGAGAAACCGAAAGTTAACACCGATACGTCTACAATTAAGAGAACATGGAAGTTAACTGTAACACGTTTACAACTGAGAGAACCTGGAATTTAACACTAGTTTATTTATAAATCAGAGAATCTGGAAGTTGACACCAATACGTTTACAATTAAGAGAAACTCGAAGTTAACACTAATACCGCGCTATATAAGACGTCTTATTACTATTGCTATTACTGTTACGTTTACAATATAGAGTACTTTTCAGTTAACACATTTACGTTTACAATTGAGAAAACCTGGAAGTTAACCTTGTTACTGTTACAATTAAGAGAAACTGGAAGTTAACACTGTTACGTTTAATATTAAGAAAACCTGGAAGTTTACACTCATACCTTTGTATGAGAACCCGGAAGTTAAAACTTTTAGGTTGACAATTAGATAAGGGAACCTTGAAGTTAACACTCGAAAGTTTACAATGAAGAGAACCTGGAAGATAGCACTTTACGTTTACATAACCTGAAAGTTAACGCTGTTAAGTTTTCAATTGTGAGAACCTGGAAGTTAGCTATGATACGTTTAAAATTGAGAAAACCTGGAAGTTAGCTATGATACGTTTAAAATTGAGAAAACCTGGCAGTTAACACTGATACATTTAAAATTAAGAGAACTTGGATGTTAACACTGTTACGTTTCCAATAGAGAGAACCTGGATGATAATACTGATACATTTAGAATTGAGATAATGGGCAGCTTAACACTGATACGTTTACAGTTGGGAGAACCTATATGGACATGAAATATAATTTTTCCTTTTTTTTTTTTTTTTTTGTTGGCATCCGTCCGTCACAATGTGAGGTTGGTGTGGACTTGGCTGGACGAAATCAAACGTTTACAGTTGGGAGAACCTATATGGACATGAAATATAATTTTTCCTTTTTTTTTTTTTTTTTTTTTGCTGGCATCCGTCCGTCACAATGTGAGGATGGTGTGGACTTGGCTGGACGAAATCAACATGGCCTGGGATTGTTCTTAAAGGATTATAAGCTGTTTTTGCTTGTCTGGGCTCTGGCTGGAATTAAACTCCAGACCACCAACTTGAAATTTGACCACTCAGTTTAGACCACTCGGCCACCCAGAACCTTAAGTCTTTAAAGAACGCAGCTGTAAACGATAAACAAACAACAATATTAAATGAATAGTGATTTTAAAGTGATGTGACAATGACCTGCAGTTCTGTTACTACCCGTCCCTCTCGGTAAAGAGATACTCCATTTTGAAATAAGCCGTTTAGAGCTAGGTCTGTAATAGTTTGTGCAGAGGCCCCAGCTAAACATTGTAGAATTTGTAGACCACTCTCAAGGTCAAAGTGAGACGATTTTATGCGAAATTTCTATTAAAAAAAAACCAAACAAAAACAAAGAACAAAAATTATTCTTAGAGTAATCATAATTATGCAATACAACATGGAATGAAATAGACTTACAACTGATTTAAAGGGGAAAAAATAGCAACAAAAGAAATTGCTTCATATGTTCACAAATGTTCTCCCAGACTTATGTATACAAATAAATACATAGCATATTAAAAATACAATAAAATATTTAATTTAGATCGTCTTGATTGTATTTAAATTTATTATTTTAAACCAGGATACAAGGAGACTTAAGCCCCTGCTAAAAAACATCTGTATAGAAGGCTCTGCACCGGAATGTTCTAAAGGTTTGATTTCTAAACACTTATCCTTATAGAGCCTGCGCTCTTCAACACAGTCCATACTGAGAGTTCCCAGTTTAAATGGACACAGAAAAAAAATCATACGGAGTGCGCTCTTTTAAAGCGATAGCGCCACAATTATGGAGCAGTTTCTCTCAATATTTTAGAGAAATTGAATATCTTTTTCTTCAAAAATATTTGAGAACATCACAGCGCTGTGAGCATGCTTAATTAGCATGGATACCAGCTCTATATAATTATTCAATCAAACAATCAACATCGCCACAACATGCTCTCTCCGATCCTTATGCCTATCCCAGTTGTCTATGTATTCTGGTGCTATGTCCAAGATGAGTAACTGATTGTATTTATGTTTTTCTTACCCGAAGTGAGTGCTGTTTCTCAATTAATCTCTTTAGTGAGTCAGTCAAATCTTTTCGTATCTGCCCTCTGACCCCTTCTAGTCCAAGACCAGAAATATAAATATATCTAAGGCTGGCTTCATCCAGACACGTAGAGAGCTCCCTGAAGAGGTTGGCACTTTCCCTAAGCTCAGACAATAGAAGGAAGTGGACTGTGATTTCTTGAACAGAAGTGGAGAACTGTTTGGCGAATTTGATCGCCTGCTGTCCTAATGAGAAATAAATTAGGAATGTGTCATTAACAATCATGGCGTAAGGACAAATGGTGGAATGTGAGGGATGGATAGCGAAAATAAGAGTAGGGTTGGGATTAGTAAGTGATTACCATGACTACGACTTACAGCTAACCACAGGGAACAAGAAACTACGGCCCGCGGGCCGGATCCAGCCTGAGAAGCCAGTTCATCCGGCCCGCAAACGGTACTTGGACTTGCTTGATAAAACGTATGGAACACGAGATGTTGTGATACGATTTCAATTTCAATATCATTTTTAGCATACTAGGAGACCTTCACACGTCCTGGTTGATTTGCACCTTAATTTACCCTTTCAATTTTAAATTATTGTACCTGGGTTTTCTTGTTTGTTGCAGACGTATTTACCTTTAAACTCCTAAAATCCTACAATATAATCTCAAAATCGAACAATGCGGTATCTTAATAGTAAATAAATGAACAAAGAGTATGTAAAATGAATAAAATAACCAATGGCATTGCAATGCCTAGTGGGAGCAAGCTAAGCTGGCTTCTAAAACGTTAACTACTCAAAGTAGAGTACCAGCGTTTGCAACACAATGCGAGGTAACTTTGTTTGCAAACGTGTATTTGCTATAGATATTTTTTTAGTGGGCGTATAGATCACAGTATCAGATTCTTTTAACTGGTGAAATATAATGTGGTTCAAACTAGAAGTTAGATCAGCATAAAACAAGATATCTTTATTTTAGAATTAATTAACAAAAGATGGCATCAAAGGATGGCATCATTTAAAATACCTCACAAGTAAATCGAGTTTTTTTTTTTTAAAGCTGGTTTGAAAAAAAAATATAAAAGAAGAATCAATTTCCATTAAGCCTATTCCAGCTTATATATTATAGTCTGATAGCTTTCACAAACTGTAAATGGCTGAAAGAAAGAGGAGTTTTGGAATCATAAGGGGTCATTGAAAATCATGGTCGCCGCGGTTGGAACTAACGGCACTTCTGCAAGTGTAGCTGTGTGGAGAGCAGAAGAACTTGGAGAGAACATAGTGCTAAAGGTATGGGAGAAAGCTAGGAACATGCTGTGGTATTCTCTGGCACCGGATGAGCCTACTGATCTCTACAACTTCTCGTGTTCATTTGTGGTGTCAATTTGGACTTTTCGATAACGGAAGAGTTGGCATCCGTTTGCAGCATGCAAGGAACAACTTATGTCTGTGAGCAAACATTTCCAAACAAAAAATTATGTGAAGTCATCACATCGAGCGAGGCGGCTTGGTAAACATTAAATGTTTAATGCATCTGCTTGTTTATTGCCCTTAACAATCTGTTTTTTTTTGTAACGCATTGCGTCGTAGCTTTTCGACAATCAAGATATTGCTTGTTCCCAACATTTACATGTACTACCTCAAAATCGTATCAAATTTTGAAAACGATTCTTTTGATGGAATGCAGCAATTCCAAAGCAAACAATGATAATACCCTGAAAGCCAAATGTCAGTTTCACAAGTCCCACTAACCTTTCTTGCTGCCTAGTTTTTGAGATATGTGCGCACTAGGTCTGATGTAACTATATTTTTGCTAACGTCGTGATCGTTGCTAACTTTTCAATAAATACATATTGTTGTGTTTGCTTTTTTGCATTTCCTGATTAACATGTAATACTAAACTTAGTTGTTTTGTTTGTCTTTTCCCTCAGAACGTTCGTTCTGGCTTGCAAGAATTGTACAAAATGATTATGCGGCCCCTATCGTCATTTTTATCCGTTGTCCGTTAATAGTGAACAAATTTTGGTGACCTCCAAAAATTCTTATAGCATATTTATATATAGTTATCTATGAATGTTATTTGTACCTGTCGGGGACCTTCACTAGTAAGAGCCTGTTTTTAACCGGCGTGTTACATGTACAGTTGTATCACTAACTCAATTGTGCCAGTACTGCTAGTTGTATTGGAATGTTAGCCTTAACAGTATCTTACTATGACAGTGTATAGTAGCTACGTCACTGTACCGTATGACCTTGGTGATGCAAATTTAGACTTCAGCCAAAGTTCAGATTTGATGTCTCCTTGTGATCTTTTCCCGCTGAATCTCATGATTCGCGACCTCCACAGAGCTGGAACTTGGAAGACTTGGTACCAGGTCTTACACACCTTAACAGGGAAAATAAGCACGGGGTTTAAGGTCGTGGTCATGTTAAAGTGAGACCCTCGGTGGCAGGACCTGATAAATCGGGGCAGGTGATTTATTTTAGCAAAAAGAACGCATGAGTTCAGAGAGTAATAGGATTTTTATATTGTTATATTTTCTTGATTTTTTTTCTCCCCGATGTCGGCGCATATACATTATTAGAAAGAGTAGAAAAACTGGACGTTGCTCAGAGCCGGTTTATAATAAAGTAGAAAACAAAAATGATTGGAACGTCGTGTTTCATATATAATTACTCGGATGGTATTTGGCATCGAAATAATAATTCCTTCACTTCATTGACAAATAAATATTTCTATTTTTTTTGGCTTTTTGTGAAGCACCTTAAATTTACAAGTCGACCGAAGGGCGTAAAAATTACAATGAAAAGTTACTGAGCCACACCTTGAAAATGCGATTGATATATTGAACATAACATTATTCATCCATTGATCCTCACATAAATCATTACGTCTATTCACACATCAAAACCTCTTATGCATTCACTCATTAATCCACCAGTCAATCTACAATTATTCATATTTTTGCGAGGTCCGAACCCATGCTCTCTACCTTCCCGGAAACATGCTGTCACAATGTTCCATCGGCTTCGATGTGCAAACGTGAGTTTTTAATTTTTGGGCTCACATGCCACCCTGATCTCCAAAAGCTCAAATTTTGGTGCACGATTTCAAAAAGTTAAAAGTAATTCTGTGGGCCATAGTGTAACAGCTTTGGTCTTTGTTGTGGTTTTGCCCTTTGAAATAGTACTCAGTGAGGCAGTGATCACTACCCTTGTGATGTACCAAGCTCTGTTGCTGTCTCTTTCAACAGCCGCCACGAATCCGACTTTCTGAGGAGGCCAGTGTTAGCGTGAAATTTGATTATACCACAATGTCCTGAAGTGATCATCAAACCAATAGTTGATACCGAGAAAGGTGACTAGTTTCCTTGCGTGTGGCTGAGGAACTCTGGTTTTTAATAATGCATCTGCTTGTTTAACAATCTGTTTTTTTTGTAACGCATTGCGTCGTAGCTTTTCGACAATCAAGATATTGCTTGTTCCCAACATTTACATGTACTACCTCAAAATCGTATCCCGAAAATACCCATATAGACACTTCACTATGCACCCTATCTATCATCTCTTTAATTGCCCCCCCCCCGGCTACATGTCCAAATTCGACGTTGTAGTCTTACATTGTCTCGAAACTATTCACTCACACGTGGCCATGTAAACACTAGATCTACTTATTGCTGTTGTAGTAGATCTCACATTTGTCCATGTGTCCAATCCACCCATCTCTCCATCGACCCTACTTCTTTCCACGTTACCAGCAAAAGCTCTCCAAATTGTATCATTTAATACCAATGATATGGTGTTTTTCATATTTTTAAATAAAACCCCTTACCCTGGCCATTGAAACCCTGTCGATGTCGCCAAGGTACGTGTATATGGCAAGCACAATTGTGGCAGGAAGTAGACTCCACAATTGAGGTTCTGGGCTCGTGTGGTGCTGTCCCTTTGTTGAATTTTTTTGGCGAATTTTGTTACCTTTTGTTGTCATTTCCTTCATTTTTATTTTAGTATGGCTTCAGTCTTTATAACTTAAGAAGTTTAATTTAAACAATATGATTGCTAGCATTTTCAATTTTATTTTTAAAACGTGTTTAAAATGCTAGTAGAAGAAGAAACGAAGTTAGGTTATTTGATTAAGTCAATGTTGTGGCATGATTTGAAGAGCGACAATGCTAAAATGTGTTTCTAGTTTTCAAATTTTGGGAAATTCCCGAACTAAACGCAAAATGAGTAAGAACGAATTTTTTTTTTTTAATCATTACAAACATTTCCCTCTGTATATTAACTCCCACAACCAATATATTAAACATTCTGGCCCTATGTTCAAGCCTGCCCTGGCACCCGCTAGAAGCGGTTAGGATAGTTGCATCGCTTCCCAAACCGTTGCACATATGCCAACCCTTGGTTGCAGCGACGTAGTCTATCAGAATCAGAATCAGTATGTATGTAAGGGCATTTGTAATATTTATGTGCCGTGTATTGAAGAGGATATTTTAATGTTTGGAAGTCTTAAACAGCGATATTATCAGGAACTTGTCAATAGACGCAAATGTTTAAAGTGTTGTCTCACCAACTGTTCCATAAGAAAGGTTGTTCAGTCCCCGATTGCCGTTTGCAAAAATGAGCAGTTCCTGTGCTGCTTTCTTTTATTTATGAACCAGAACTGTTTGCCATGGCGTCGGGGTTTTAAGACTAGTATCTATTTAATGCTGGGGCAAGAACCTTATTTATCTTGTACATTATGGGGAGCCTGGATAATTGTCGTCGTTCCTCCAAAGTTGACCAGCCCAGTGTTTTCAGCATGCTACCCATACTAGAGGTGTTCCATTAGCAATTCAGGACAAAGCGTTCTGCCCGTCGCTGGACCTCCTCCAGCTGTCGATGCTTTTCTGGGTGAATGGGTCCCAAAATGAAGATTTGTAATCTAAAAGCGTATTGACAACGACTTTAAAAGCTATTTTTTCACACTAGGGCCTAGTTTGCCTGGCTTCAAACTTTGTTAATATGTTCGTCACAGCAGAGCCCTCTGTGAGCGGTAACACTACGGTACCTTATGGGGAAAACGCGAATAAGCATATGGCCATAAAATTCGTATTCATGTTGTAGAGTGACACTACGTCTAGAGGCTGACAGTGTACAGAAAAGCTCGTCCTGCACTTAGCGAACCGATTGAGATTGGGTTACCGGAGATTTCCGTACATAGGCTAACCCGAGCATAAGCCCATGGGCCTGTGTACGGAAAGTCTTTTCGTATACAGGCCCAAGGGCTTATATTAAGTTAATAAATTAAATCTGCTCTTGCAGCATGTACACACATAAATGCAACTGTCAAACTTATAATTGCCAAAACAACATCATTCCTACAGCCCTTAGATGTCGGTGTTAATTTCACATTTAAGGATATTTTAAAGCAGACAAAGAAAAATTGGTTTGAAAATGGGTTGAATGAATATACACGAGGTGGATAGAGGAAAAAAATATCTTATGAAAGATTACTTGAAATGGTGTCAGAAAGCGTAAAAATGATCTCACCTGAAAACATACGAAAATCATTTAGTTCATGTGGGGTGATACGTGATGATGACAAGCATCTCAACCAGCGATTGAAAGGTGTGATAAGTTTTAAAGCTGAAGAAGCTATCAGACGTGCACATGAACAGAACGATGATGAAATATAGTCTGATTAACCTTTTGAAGATCTTACAGATAACTCTGATTAAAAACATTGTTTGTACTTTTTCAATATTTTCAAACAGCAAAATTCTAAAGTAAATTATCTTAATTGTATTATCTGAAATTTTTATTTATCAGTATTTACCAGTGTTTCTTTTCTCAAGAAGATTGTTGGATGAATGATAACATTTAAATCTATGGGTAATCTGATGTATATGAATAAAAACAATCTTTAGCAATGATCCTTTCACTTTACTTACGCCTGATCTTTATTACAAAATAGCATATTTTCAACTTAGAAAAGATTTTGTCTGAAAAACAGAAAAAAAAAATATACAAAGAAATGACATGCGAGTGTCTCAGGTAGTAAGTAGTTTAACTGATTTGTATTTTCCCATATCGGGTGGATGAGACTCGTTAACCTTGGTCGGCAACTCATCTAAGAGAAGGAAACTCTGAATTCAAACCCGGAGTTTGAGTCCCGTAAGGCGCATACAATGTCAATTCCTGCAACCGTACCCATCCCTGGTCGTCTTGACGTAGAGTCTTGCCACTGGATATGGTGGGCTCGGATGAGAGAGTGAGGTTGACGCTGCGCAACTCTTCCTCACTTTAAACAAAAGTCACCCGCGCAAGTCATCAGTCATCAGATGACTCGATGGTCATCGTCGATCCTCGACGGACGAACAACACATTTTCCATATAAACGCCCATGAGCCTTTATTTGGTACAAAAATCTCAATCATGTAACATCAATTTTCCGTTTTGAAGTCCAGGGCTTATTTACCGAAATCTCCTGTAGACATTGTAAATGGACACAATTATGTTAAATTAACTAATAAAGCTATTTCCAAAAGAAGAATTTAAAATACGCCAAAAATGACCCCACACAATGAGAACCACTTGACTAAAAACATTTCCACAAAAGTACCAGTCATTTAAAATTCAAATTAACGAATAAAGCTAATAAATATTACAACAATACTCAATTAAAATTCATATATAAATTAACAAACAAGGAAGAATATTAATTAAATACTTAATGAATTACAATTTTTAAAAAGTAATTAAGTAATTATCACCACTTAATTTATCGATCTACCCTTAAATGTTTACCCTTACCTTTCAAAAGACTTACCCAAAACTACATTCTATACAAATACTGTATTTTAGGGAAGCAGCTTTTTGGAAGATTGAGAATCACTGATATAACAGATACATGTGTTCCAATTTCACAGTTACCTAACATCCAGCTTAGAATCGCGAACACAAGTATTACAGTCACCGGCAGTGAAGAAACAGAGATCAAATGATTTCTTAAATGACATAATATGCTGCATGTCAACAAATAAATTAAACGAAAGCACAAATTAAATTTGATTTTTTTAAAAACTAAACATATTCATAACAAGATATGAAATGTATGATAAATATATGTTTATTGATAACTAATGTTAATTAAGTTACATACCATTTAAAATGTGGGTAAATGTTAACGCTCAGGTTTAATGTAAATTAAGCATTTATACAAATTACAACTAATATCCAAATCTTGTGGAGGTGAATTTTAAATTTTGCTAATTTTTTTTAATGTTTACTATTTTGTTAGATGTTCATGAAATTTTTTTTTTAAATTGACAAATTCATTATGTAGTAGAATAAAGTCATATTTGTACACCAAGAAAAGCATAAAAACATTTTCAAATACTAGAATTGTAAGCAAAAATACTTTTCTGAATATAAAAGAAAAAAATAATAGCATAAGAAATGTTAATGTTTGAAGCTACTGATAAACGTTAGATGTCGTTCTCTTCGAGCCACCAAGTTTCTTGTGACAGAGTCCACACATAATCCTCTGTATCAGTATCGCTGGTATTCGAGCATTTGAATGGCAGCCTGAAAGATAAAAAAAAATCCATTTTTTAAAGCCTTCTTGTCGAAAAGATCATTCATGGTTACTGCAGCCTTTAAGACAATAAAATAATGATTTTAAAAAGTCAAAATATTCGTCAGATAATTAAACTCTATAACAAAATGTAAGTCAGGCGGCAATGTTAATCAACGCTATTTACTATGTTATGTGCACACTAATATGAAACATAATTAGAATGTATGCAAGTTACACGGAGCTACGGGTGGACCGGCAATCAGGAACTAATTTATAACATTAAGGAAAATGATCACTCGCTTAAGGAAACAACGAGAAAGGGGGTGCAACAATTTTTTACATAAATTATCAAGTCTTTTTAACTCACGAGCTGAGACAAGCGTCGATGATATATTATGGTTTCTGTAGTTAAATAATAATTCACATTTAAAGAAATTAATATTGCAGAGCGAATAGCAAGTGTAAAAATTTTAAAGTGAAACAAATCTCGAAATTTTGTTTTACTCCCCTCATGACGTTGCAAAACTATATTTTAAAAAAATTAATTATTTAAAAAAAAAAAATGGTTTATGTTATTATTTCTCTTTTATTTTAATTCTTTGGTTTACATTTCAACCTTTAATTTCCTCAGATTTACCTTTACTGAGTACAAGAGCAGATGTATTAAGGAAAATTAGCTTTAAGTATGTGTTACAAAATTTTGCGATGAGAAAATGTTTTTGTTTTAAACGAATATTGTTAACACAAATACACATTCCATTATCAGTTAGTGGCATGTTCTGAAAAAATAATACCAACACATTTAAACGTTATATTCCCTCTTAAAGGCAAGTTCTGTTTGTTTAAATAAAACTAGAATTTTCTGTTAATTATAATTGAAATTATTTTTAAATCCATTATTGAAATTTCACCTCAGACTTTCAGGTTCCAAGTAAAAAGAAAATAACATGTGCAAATGCTACTTCTCTGTCTATTGTTTTATCGGTGACCCAATAGAAATCTATATGCAACCCTATCCTCGGTCACGTCCAATAGACTGGGAACTTGAGGTTTTGTTGACCAGACCTTTAACCTTGGCATAACAAAACCGGTCGAAACATTGTGGGCTCTTTTCAATTGGGCATCGACCATCCTTAAAACCCTCCCGCTATGAATAATATGAACAGGGGCCGTTGTGACACAGGGCTATTCATTCTGCTGATGAATTGGCCAGTGCCCAACCAGATACACCTCAAGTTGTCTGTTTAAGAAATAAACAGATCCTATAATGAGAGCAGAAATTGTCTCAAAAAATCGTGGACACGGTTCGTGTTTCTGACACCGGAGCTCCAGCGACAACGTCTTCTTCTAAGATTTGTAGATTAAAAACATGTTTCTCCTTTGTCAATATCCAATTGTGTTGTTTGTTGATCTCCTCCAGCCATTTT